ACCCAGGTAATTCCTTCTCTTTATGTATGTGTCTGTCGAAGTAAAGATATGAGAATTTGCATTATTTATGGACTTGGATTGGAGTGTAGAAATTTAAATTTTTTAGGTTTTCGAGAAGTTCGAGTCTCGTCGGTGCTGCATTGTTCATGTTTGTGTGTATTCTAGTGTGTTTCCGGGGTGGGGTTATGGGTGAGGAAGTAGGCCTCTTATCTTGGATTAATTGGCTTTGAGTTCTTGGTAAACATAAAATGAAACTTAATTGCGGAAAAAAAGACAATAAACAAGTAAAAGTACAATCACAATCTTCTCACCTCCTTTCGCCTATGGCTAATGCACAGTAACACCAAAGTGCAATGACTAAACAAGCTAAATAAAGATCTCGTTACACCAAATGGAGAATCTGGATTGAAATTTCTATAGGGATTGACTGTGTAGTGCTTTGATCATTAGATCCACATTTGTTCATCTCAATAATAATTATATTAATTGTTAACTTTTCTTGGTACAAGCATAGATTCCTGACAAACATTGCAGGTTCCTGTCATCATTTTGCATTATATAGTTTATATGTTTTCCCTTTAAGTTGGTCTGATTTGCCAATGTCCATCTCTATTTTCACTTTTGTATGTCTCCATGTACTATTATTTTTCATCATTTGGTTTCCTGACTCTGTGTAGATTCTGTTTTAAACCAAATGCGTCTTTCTCTTTATGACCTTCCTTTTTATGTGGATGTAGTTGAACATTACAAAATAATGTGAATGTTCTTTCTATTCATTCTCACAATCAATATCAGAAAGCACTTAATTATGATCTGCAATTAAATTTTTTCTAATTGTGGAACTGCCCAATATTAGAACATCCTAGTGGTCAGGGGAAGTTTCTAATGAAATACAGTGTCCAAGGTGCAAGTAGAATTTGGATCTAATATTTATCATTGACTAAAATGCAGCAAAAAGTAGAGATCCTATTTATTTCCGGACACAGTGTATCTTATCTACGGCAACAACTACGGTCCTCGAGTTAGAGAAGCTACAATTACCATCATTAGAAGTCATTTCAAATTCAGTACCTGCTGACAGATCTTCGAAACCAACAAGATCTGCAGTGCTTGACTTGGACAAGCTAAAATTACCCTCTTTAGATGTTCATTCCAACTCTATAGCCGCAAACAGAACATGGACGTATATTGAAGCAGTTTGTCCACCCACTGAGGTGAGAATTCAAATACGTACATGCTACCTAATTGAACGCTAGAAAATCATTGCATAGGGCTTGTATTGATATAACAGAAAGTTTTCAGTTAACTATCTCGAGGTCTAGTAAAAGAAAAAGGCTATTACATTTGTTGTTCATGTAAGGAATCTGTAAATAAGTGAGTTTAAATATCTTATAACTCTTTTTTGTGTTGTTCATAAAGATAGAAGCTGCTTTCCAATTTGTGTGAACCTTGATGTTTCAAATACATCACATTTCAGAAGAAAATTTTAGCGCTTATCTTTTACGGTATTCTTTGAAGTGAATCCTGTAGTCCATATTGCAAAAGTATGCTTATTCAATCAACTCATTCAATTTCCACACGCACCCCTTTTGCCAATTGTGCCTTAAGAAAAGAGAAGAAATATAATAGTTTTTATGTGGTTAAAAAAAAATCTTGGCACTAGCTTTAGTCATTTGATGCTTTCATCTATCATAATTAACTTTAATGCGCGTCCAGGCAAATCTTCAAGCAACTTTAGCTACAGAAACTCTTATTACAATTGAAGAGGCTGTTGTAGCAGCGGCTGCAGCTGAAGCACTTGCTTTAGCAAAGGCAGCAGTTAAGGTTGCAAAAGATGCAGCCATGATGGTCTGTAATCGTACTGCCATGATGTCAGATTGCGAAACTACAGAAATCATGCCTGAAGTGGATAATTTATTGTTGGAGAGGAATCAGCTTGCTAATTTTTCAGAAAGAGTGAATGGCAGAGAGTCTAAGGTTACTGTAGGGTTGGGTGAAAATCATTCAGCTTCTTTCCTCCTTACGGAATCTGATGTGGAGCCTAGTCATGAAGAACTCGAACTTCTTAAGGCTCAATTGTCCAGGAGTATAGCTGTGAGATCAAAGCGTCAAATAGAACGAAAAGCCAGAAGAACTAGAGCTGCACAGAAGGCGGCAGCTAATGTTGTGTGTGTGAAATCTGGTTCTACATCCCGGAAAAAAGGGGTTTTGCAGGATATAGATTATTCTGACCCATTGCGTTACTTAAGAGGAACTACTAGTAGTTCCAAGCTACTTACAGCAGCTGAAGAACAGAAGTTGTCAGTAGGAATACAGGTAATTCGAGCCAAAAAAATGCTTTATCCTTCTTTTAATTCTCTTTATGTTTACAATGCATGCCACTTTTTACTTCTCATTGAGCAATACATCGTTCAATCAGTTCAAGAGGGACCATAGACATCACTGAAAACTCTGCCATGGGCCTTTCTATTTTTGTACCGAATCGAGCTTTTCCTTCTTTCTTTTCCAATCCCGGCCTATTTTTGTACTCTTATGCATCTTTATTTTTCACTTCCGGTGTCAGGGGATGGGGCTTATGACAAAATAAAAGAGATTGTTAGTTTGGTAAATGATTTTTTTGTATGAACAAAGAATGTGTACTGCATTTGGCTAGCAGTTAGTACCATCACTATCAATTTTCCAGATTAATTTAATGTCAATCAATAATTTGTTGTCCTTACAACTTGCAAAGTTTGGCACCTTACTGTCCTCTGTCGTGTGGATTTCCAATTAGTGCTAGACATCTAGTTGGTTGCATCTTTATATCTTGTGAAGTCTGGTACCTGATTATCCTCGTCTAGATTTGCACTCTTTGTTGTAGTCACAGTTGAAGTTCATTAATCAAGAGATTGGGAAGCCACTGCCAATTTATTTAAATTACTAATTTGGGTGTGAATAAAAACGTGTTCAACATTTGGCATGACAAGAGTTTATATTCAAAGTCAACATTAAACTTTTTTGTAGTTTTCCTGATCAAGTCAGTGTATCAACAATTTCTCTATCTTGATAGCTTTTTTGAAAATTTTGGCCACTTGCCATTCTTTTTGGATGTGATTTTCTTAGTTATAACTAGAATCTTAATTTCCTTCCCTAATTATTAAAAAGAGAACTGAGTAAATGGTACATTCATCAATTCAAAGCTTTCCTGTCATACGGTTATACCATGGAAACATAATATTTCAGTATTTCTCTTTCCTCCTTGGGAAAATTACAAATTTCAACACTGCTTTAGAGGATTTTTATTTGAAAAATTTTGGTTCACTGTTTAAATATGCTTCCTAATTGATGGAACTCAATTCCCATACAGCATTCATGTTATAGGGCCTAATATTACTTTCTTCAGTACTGGGAGAAACTATTCTTACTTGTCACTGGCAAATATTACAAGTCTTGTGCACACTCCTTTCATCCTTCTCCCTCGTGTACTTTTCGAATCTTCTCATGTCTAATTTTTTGTCCTCTAATATATATTCATCATGAATGCAGGACCTACTAAAATTGGAAAGGCTCCAGAAGGAGCTCACAGAACGTTATGGGGACCAGTTTACTTTTGCTCAATGGGCTGCTGCGGCCAGCGTTGATCAGAAAACCTTGAGGGAGCGTTTAAATTATGGTATTCTTTGCAAAGATAAAATGATAAAGAGCAATATACGTCTTGTTATTTCTATTGCAAAATATTATCAGGGAGTTGGGATGAACCTTCAAGATTTGGTTCAGGTAATTATTTTCTTCGTTGGTCTTGATTATCTAACTTAAGGTGTTTCCCGCAAGAAAAACTGTAAAACTGATAGTATGATGTTTGATTCCTTTCTAACACTACATTTTTAACAAATTTTCATCAGGAAGGATGCCGAGGCCTTGTGAGAGGTGCAGAGAAATTTGATGCTTCAAAAGGGTTTAAATTCTCCACCTACGGGCCTTAAAGTTTTATATGGGCCCAGGCTAGGGTTAGTATAAATAATATGTTGTAACCCTATTTTTCACATCTGAATAAAGAAATCTCCGCTTCGCTCTCGTGGACGTAGGCACACCGTCGAACCACGTAAAATTCTTGTGTTGATTATCGTTTTCATCTCTTTAATATTGCGCATAAAATCCAACAATATGTCATATATGTTCGTCAATCAACAAACAAGAAAAACATGGAGGACATTTAATTTTTAAACAAACAAACCAAGTGAGCAGTTTATCCTGTTACAATATTGATTAAAATACATCAATTACTTATAATGCCTCAAATTATTATTTTAAAAATTTTAAACAAGGATTAACTTTTATATTTGCTTTGTACATATGAGAATGAAACAAGACTTCAATTGAGTTGAACACAAATACGAGTTGTTGCGAAAAAAAAGAACTTATTTGTTCAATAAATACAGATAAAGGAGAAAGGACAAACATTTTAAATTCTTATGAACTGTACACAATCAAACATATAAAGAAACAATAGAACACAAGCAAATACGATGTCTTAGCTTAACACATCAATTGTCACAGTGCTTTCTTTCTTTTCTATTATATATAAGAAATGGATCAGATCAGAATGTTAAAATGGTTATATTGAGAAGAGGACATGGAACTCGGTACTACTACTGATACAAATGGTAAGATAGCAAATTGTGGATATGTCAAGCTCGATGGTGATGGGGTATTTTCTATGTGCTGCATCAACAGACAAGATCTACATGATAAATTAATATGTCACTATACCTGACATCCAACTGTTCCTAAGGTCATGAAAGATCTATTCCCATTTTTCCGTGCAAATCAATCACTGATTTGGACAGCCTTAAGATGATCCAGCTAACGTACGTGACTTAAGTCACTTAAGGTATTGAAGTTTCAAGAACTCATAAAAACGTGTATCACAGAGGATCATACTCGATCAGTTTTATAAACACCTTAACTCTTGAAGACTTTATGATAAATAGCATACACTAAATGAGGTTTTGAGCAGGTACCTGTCCACCTGGCATTAAACTGTCCACAATTGACTCAACAAGAGGCTTCTGCACAACCCTTCTTTTGCGATGCTTCTTCTTGAAATGTGGATCTGGGCACTGAATGCACGAGTGAATACTCATTTAGTTCTAAGCAACAGATAGCTGGAATTTTTAATGAAATTAAGTTTCCTGTTAAATCTTTGGTGGTTGATAAGAGAGCACTTTGCAACTTTTAGTACAAGGAGGGCACTCACCAAGATCGAAACAAACATCAATGGTCCAGGATATGTCGATACAAGTTGTTTGAAGGAGATCGTGGCATTAGCAAACATGAAATGTCTGCATTTAGATGTACATAAGCCTATTCCAATGTATTTGCAAAGCAAGGTAAGTAGTCTTTAGAAATCTTACATATTTCTCATAGAAAGCTCATCTACCCAATAATTAGCACGTGTGACCAACTGCACAAGAAAAAAAGATAGTCCGATTAAGAGAATTCAGTACTTAATTTGTCACTGAAAGTAATAATATTTTTATTGTTCTTTAGTCGAGTAGAAACATTCTTGAAAAACAGTAAGGATATTTGGTGAATACCTTTGGACGTATCTCCAATCCCAGATAATTCCTAAATGTGGGATTTTTTTTAGCAAGCCTCAAGAGAAATCTGCCACTACCTGTAATTCTTTATAAATTTAGTGTACTGTACATCAAGAAGTAAAGTCAGCTACATATAACCGATCCTTTTTTTATTCTTTTACCAATAAATCTAATGCAATTTTTACATTTAACAAAGTTTCATTCTCATCGTCTCTTCAAATATGGTAAAGATTCATTTTCTTCATACATTGTTATAAAGATAAGCTATTACTAGCGACCCAGAGGTCATATATCAGTGAGGACTCTAAGCATCTGCTGGATATCAGTTCACTTCACTTCACCAACACATTTAAACTGAAAAGAACCCAGTCAAAACCAAAGTTTTAAAAACCATAATTCGGTACTAAGGCATTTTTCCAACATGAGGCAAGGCATAAATGTTGAGGCATAAGCCGTAAACCAAAAACATCAAAAAATTATTAAAATGAAAAATAAGCTCAAAATAAATCATAAACGGTCTTGGAAATCCATAATAGAATACTTTAGAATGTGAAAATAAAAGCAAAAAAGAAACTATTATTTTAGTGGGGGAGGCAGTGACTATTTCCAAAACAATGTTTTAATGTTTCAGTGGGCGATGGCCGGTGAGTATTCCCAAAATGGGCTAATCAAAATTTTTATGTTTCGAGGGCAACACCTAAAGTAAAGTAATTAAGTTTAAAGAATAAAGAAGCAGACACCTTACAGGCATCAAGGCAAGCTCTCAGGTGTGTCTCCCACAATGGAGGAGTATGCCTCCAAAAATTGCCTCACAATCAGAGCCATGAGGCTTTTTTTGCTAGCCACACAGACACGCACTCAATTGGGTCTTTTTAAACCAAGGTCATAACATTGAATATAATGCAGCTAGAAAATTAGCGGTTGGTGAAACCTTTGCCTTACAATGGAAGAAACTTTAAGCAGAACAGGAAGGTTAAGAAAATTGGCCGCCGGCACCCAGCCCCTGCCCAGCTTTCCGATATTAACTTTTCCACTTAAAATTTGCAAATTTCCCCCCAAAAAAATAAAAAAAAAAAAGAAAAAAAGAATAAGAATAGGATTTGCTGCCCCCTCCCCTCTTTCACTGAGCTTCATAGTTTCTAAATCACCCATTCCCTTATAAAATAGGATATTGTAGAAAAATGGCCCTTCAGAGATTAAGCTTTGTGAAAACACACCCCTGCCTCTTCTCTATCCCAGCTGAATTGTGTTAAAACCTCACCAGTCTACATCTATAGATCAGAAAAATAAAACTGATCTATGGCACTTGCCAAAGTTGAAGATGAAATTAATAAATTTAAACAGAACTATGGTGACTGGAAATATGGACTGCATCTCATCTGCAACTTTGCATTTTCATAATGCATAACTAATTATACAAGATATTAAATGAAAACCAAGAACAGTCAATGACTTGTCTAGACAAGGTAAATATCATTTTCTGATAAACAGTGGAGTAACAATCCTAGAATAAACTATGTATAACAACATCAACTGCAAAGTGTTTTTCTATTGCACAAACCAGGAGCAAACCACAAACCATAATAACTGAAAATGAGAAATACTTCCTCCGTTCCATTTATATAGGTTGATTTTATTTTTCACATGGATTAAGAAACCTTATCTAATGTTTATCAACAAATAGTAGTAAATTAGTTTTAACTGGGCAAATTAAATAAGGGTATATTAGTAACCGAACAAAACAGAAATTTTTTAATTAAAAAACATGACTACATAATTGGGAGAGAAGAAAATAAGGAAAGTCCACGACGGAGGGAGTAATAACTTTAAACAAGAGAGAAATAGAGCATAAACTGCAAAGATTGTTCATTACCGCTCCCAATATCCACCATCAGTGGCAATTTTGCATCCTCATAGACTTCATTCCATTCTGGCACTTCAGCAGGAATCTACTCATAACAATTGCAACGAATCATGTTAGTTTGACACAAACTTCCACATTTCAGAAACTAGTTGGTCTAATTGGGAGAAAAATAAACTGGCAAGTACAAACATGCTCCCCTATACAGAAATATATACAGCTCAGGCGGGCACACTTGCACACTTGCGCGAAAAAAACCAAAGGAGAAATTACCATGAGAGAAGAACGAAGAGGATTAACATGCTGTCGGATTCTAACATGACCCACCTCCTGCAACAACAACAATTAACCAACATTATTCTTGTTATATTTTATATTAGTATAAAGACAGCAAGAAATAAAAATACCAACAATAATAAATAAAATGCAGAGTCGTGATTAATTAAAATTTAAAATTTCTAATCTTTCCACTTTGATCCCAGCCCCAAGAACTATGAATTAAATTCCAACTGATTCGTGAAGACGCGATTATTTGAAAAAACAACCATGCAATGCATACATATGTTATGTACCTCGCAAAATTTGTCCGAGAGATTGAGGTCGGCATATTCCCGGGCCACGAGTTCTGGGCTTCTGATTTCTTTAAATTCTGTAACGACTGAAGGCGAAGAGACGGTGGCTGCAGCAAAAGTACAGCTGCCACGGCGGTTGTGGACAAAAGGCGGAGGTAATGATAATGCGACAGCAGGCGGTGTAACTAGTAATAATTTTTTGATAAAATTTGGGTATAGAGGAGCTGAAATGGCAGAAAACATGAAGGCTGGAGATATGGTGGAGCTGCTACTGTTTGGAAGAAGGAACCCTTGCTCTCTAATTTGAAGTAAATATTTAGGGAAAATGGCAGCGGATGTCCCTAATCTATTATTCGTCTTGTATTTTCATCCTCAAATTTTTTTTTTTTAGATCGAGCATTTTGACAAGTGATAAGAACCTTCTACTTTTGTTACAAAAAGGATCTCATAGACCTATCCGAAAATACCCTTAAAGTTAAACATGAAGGATATATGCATAATTTTCAAGAACAGACTTCTTTGTTTCTATAATGCAGTATATTTTTTGCCTCATCGTTATTTCCCAATAGGAGCCTCCCCATCTTTATTCTTCATTCTCCCCATATTTTGCACAGCCATCATTTTCCTACTCTTCCTAGGTTTTGCACATCTTTCCCTTTTCTTTTCTCTTGGTTTTTCCTACCCTTTCTTTGTGCTTGAGAGGTTATTGCATAGAAAGATGAGAATGATATTATTTGGGGATTGCATTAGAGAAAAACTGTGTCGGATCATACTATAGGCAATTACATAGAGTCCCGTATGGGCGAGAGCTTTCATAATATTAATGCTTTCAATATTTATAGATACAGATGAACTCATAAAGTATTTATAAAAGATGTCATATAAAGTAGGTTTAAGGCATAAAAAATATATAGACTAATTAAGAGTATACTTGGAGAAAAGTGAAAGAACATAGAAGAAGACATATTTGAATTTTCCCACAATATTTTAAGGTCAAAGCCAGCTCAAATGGTAAGAATATAACTTTGAGCTCAAGTTTCATTTGGAAAAGGGCGAAATTTTTAAAAAAAATGATAAAATAAATTATTAAACTAGGGGAAGGCCTTTTTAATGTGTGTGTGAATCCGAATTCATTGCACCAAATTATGTATGTAATTCCATAGATACATTGAAAATATAGAAACTGACACGTCCCAAAAGTCAATGATACTTGGTAAATAATAAACTCGTAAAGAATACTTTCATGTTGTATAGTATTCAACTTGAGGACCCAAATTTTGAGCACATCATTCATCCTCAATGGTTGCATCTGTCAACAGTTTAGATAGACTCAATTGTCACGTCATAGTGCCTGATTGTTATGAACCCATATCGACTATTAAGTTTATGAAAACTCGCTAGGGAGCTATTTCAAGCTCAACCAACCAAAATTCAATGATAAACCATCAAATCCAACAATGTCGTCTAAAGTTCGGCATATTTAACACGATCATCTATATTATAACAAAAAAATATTTGTTACGTATCACGTTCTTATTGAGCGGGTGTGCCTATATAAATAGTAAGTAGGAGCCAAATATTTTCTCGGACCCTGCTATACGTCGAGGGCCACCGTCCAGGACTCATGTGTCCCTGGACAGGTATCTTTATCCATATTTCTCAGCGTGGAATATATTTACAACTGTAGATGGGCCTCCAAAGCCCAAAGTCCAAAACATAAGAAGCGGTAGCTGCTTATCGATCTCTCGTCCTAATTTCCTTGAGTTAATTGTTTCAATAATATTGAACTTAGGTCCATATCTTTGATTGACCACTGAACTTTAAAGTATCGAGTGTTGGCTACTGAACTTTAAAAAATATCGAGTTTTGGTCACTGAACTTAGGTCCATGTCTTTCATTGGTCAATGAACTTTAAAGTGTCGAGTTTTGGCTACTAAACTTTAAAAAATATCGAATTTTGATTACTGAATTTAGGTTCATGTCTTCGATTGCTCATTGAAATTTAAAATGTCGAATTTTGACTACTGAACTTTGGAATATACCGTACGTTACTTACTAGCATAACTGTTGAATTTTGAAAAATATCGAGTTTACAGTAAAAAATGTACAATATTTTTCAAAATTCAGTGAGTAATGTACAACATTTTTCAAAGTTCAGTGGTCAAAATTCGACATTTTAAATTTCAGTAAACAATTGAAAACATTGATTTAAGTTCAATGACCAAAACTCGACATTTTTCAAAATTCAATGGTCAAAACTTGATATTTTAAAGTTCAATTTCTAATCAAAGACATGAACCTAAGTTCAATAATCAAAATTCGATATTTTAAAATTTAGTGACCAATAAAAAAAATGGACCTAGTTCAGTGACCATTGGAATAATTAACTCCATCTCCTTGGGCAAAAGCATTCTCTTATCCATTTATTTATCATTTTCTGGCAACTCATCACTCCTCTCTCTCCTGAGTCTTTCCTCTCACAGTTTTCTCTGTTCATATTTTTGTTCGGCTCTAACTCAATTAATTTTGAAGACCTGCTTTATTGCCTCATTCATACAAGCAGATTGTATTTGTGTACGAATAGCATGCTCACGAGTACAAATCTGCTTGTGTGTATGTATTTAGACATTTAGGAGAAGGATGTCCTGTCTGGTGCCGCAATTCAGGTGCTTGCCGGACACTTTTTCGGTTAACTTTAAATCACAGAATCATTCTTCCACCCACCCAGGTAATTCCTTCTCTTTATGTATGTGTCTGTCGAAGTAAAGATATGAGAATTTGCATTATTTATGGACTTGGATTGGAGTGTAGAAATTTAAATTTTTTAGGTTTTCGAGAAGTTCGAGTCTCGTCGGTGCTGCATTGTTCATGTTTGTGTGTATTCTAGTGTGTTTCCGGGGTTGGGTTATGGGTGAGGAAGTAGGCCTCTTATCTTGGATTAATTGGCTTTGAGTTCTTGGTAAACATAAAATGAAACTTAATTGCGGAAAAAAAGACAATAAACAAGTAAAAGTACAATCACAATCTTCTCACCTCCTTTCGCCTATGGCTAATGCACAGTAACACCAAAGTGCAATGACTAAACAAGCTAAATAAAGATCTCGTTACACCAAATGGAGAATCTGGATTGAAATTTCTATAGGGATTGACTGTGTAGTGCTTTGATCATTAGATCCACATTTGTTCATCTCAATAATAATTATATTAATTGTTAACTTTTCTTGGTACAAGCATAGATTCCTGACAAACATTGCAGGTTCCTGTCATCATTTTGCATTATATAGTTTATATGTTTTCCCTTTAAGTTGGTCTGATTTGCCAATGTCCATCTCTATTTTCACTTTTGTATGTCTCCATGTACTATTATTTTTCATCATTTGGTTTCCTGACTCTGTGTAGATTCTGTTTTAAACCAAATGCGTCTTTCTCTTTATGACCTTCCTTTTTATGTGGATGTAGTTGAACATTACAAAATAATGTGAATGTTCTTTCTATTCATTCTCACAATCAATATCAGAAAGCACTTAATTATGATCTGCAATTAAATTTTTTCTAATTGTGGAACTGCCCAATATTAGAACATCCTAGTGGTCAGGGGAAGTTTCTAATGAAATACAGTGTCCAAGGTGCAAGTAGAATTTGGATCTAATATTTATCATTGACTAAAATGCAGCAAAAAGTAGAGATCCTATTTATTTCCGGACACAGTGTATCTTATCTACGGCAACAACTACGGTCCTCGAGTTAGAGAAGCTACAATTACCATCATTAGAAGTCATTTCAAATTCAGTACCTGCTGACAGATCTTCGAAACCAACAAGATCTGCAGTGCTTGACTTGGACAAGCTAAAATTACCCTCTTTAGATGTTCATTCCAACTCTATAGCCGCAAACAGAACATGGACGTATATTGAAGCAGTTTGTCCACCCACTGAGGTGAGAATTCAAATACGTACATGCTACCTAATTGAACGCTAGAAAATCATTGCATAGGGCTTGTATTGATATAACAGAAAGTTTTCAGTTAACTATCTCGAGGTCTAGTAAAAGAAAAAGGCTATTACATTTGTTGTTCATGTAAGGAATCTGTAAATAAGTGAGTTTAAATATCTTATAACTCTTTTTTGTGTTGTTCATAAAGATAGAAGCTGCTTTCCAATTTGTGTGAACCTTGATGTTTCAAATACATCACATTTCAGAAGAAAATTTTAGCGCTTATCTTTTACGGTATTCTTTGAAGTGAATCCTGTAGTCCATATTGCAAAAGTATGCTTATTCAATCAACTCATTCAATTTCCACACGCACCCCTTTTGCCAATTGTGCCTTAAGAAAAGAGAAGAAATATAATAGTTTTTATGTGGTTAAAAAAAAATCTTGGCACTAGCTTTAGTCATTTGATGCTTTCATCTATCATAATTAACTTTAATGCGCGTCCAGGCAAATCTTCAAGCAACTTTAGCTACAGAAACTCTTATTACAATTGAAGAGGCTGTTGTAGCAGCGGCTGCAGCTGAAGCACTTGCTTTAGCAAAGGCAGCAGTTAAGGTTGCAAAAGATGCAGCCATGATGGTCTGTAATCGTACTGCCATGATGTCAGATTGCGAAACTACAGAAATCATGCCTGAAGTGGATAATTTATTGTTGGAGAGGAATCAGCTTGCTAATTTTTCAGAAAGAGTGAATGGCAGAGAGTCTAAGGTTACTGTAGGGTTGGGTGAAAATCATTCAGCTTCTTTCCTCCTTACGGAATCTGATGTGGAGCCTAGTCATGAAGAACTCGAACTTCTTAAGGCTCAATTGTCCAGGAGTATAGCTGTGAGATCAAAGCGTCAAATAGAACGAAAAGCCAGAAGAACTAGAGCTGCACAGAAGGCGGCAGCTAATGTTGTGTGTGTGAAATCTGGTTCTACATCCCGGAAAAAAGGGGTTTTGCAGGATATAGATTATTCTGACCCATTGCGTTACTTAAGAGGAACTACTAGTAGTTCCAAGCTACTTACAGCAGCTGAAGAACAGAAGTTGTCAGTAGGAATACAGGTAATTCGAGCCAAAAAAATGCTTTATCCTTCTTTTAATTCTCTTTATGTTTACAATGCATGCCACTTTTTACTTCTCATTGAGCAATACATCGTTCAATCAGTTCAAGAGGGACCATAGACATCACTGAAAACTCTGCCATGGGCCTTTCTATTTTTGTACCGAATCGAGCTTTTCCTTCTTTCTTTTCCAATCCCGGCCTATTTTTGTACTCTTATGCATCTTTATTTTTCACTTCCGGTGTCAGGGGATGGGGC